TGTGTTCTCTCTAGTTACCTTTATGTTTACTCAGTTATTTCTGTTTCATAAAGGAAAAGGGAAAAAAGAAAAAGGACAAGTAGACTCAGATACATTATGCTTATGTCATAGAAAAAACTGTTCCAGGAAGTTTGGGAACATTTTCCTCTGTGTCTTCCACAATTATGACATGCTTTGCGTGAATGCATGAATTTAAAATAATAGAGATGCTTGGTTCTTACACTTTCCTTGAAGCCTGACCTGCCAAGTGACCCCAAACCATGGAGAGAAAAGCTTAACTTCTGAAACTTACTTGATAATCCATTGAATTGTTTCTTACGGTTTTGTTTTGACTCTTATTGTCTCTTGTGTGCTACTCGGAGTCATGGAGAATTCCTAAATTTGGGAAAGTGAAACTCTTTGCTGCTTATGAATTACATTGCTATGTTTTGATTATTTCAGAAGTTATTTTAGAGTTATTTCAGACTTTTGGCCTTGTGGTTTGGCAAGAGATATAGCAGTAATAAATAGGATTTGACTTTTTCCAACTTTTGGAGGCAGCCTTCAAAATAACATTCTGTATTGTCATGATCATGGAAGTAGGCTGAGGAAATGAGGTTCAGCTCTTCTGTTTAGCTGTTCTCTCTTTTTGCTTGTGGACTAAAGAAGGAACTGCTTTTCTTCCATCTTAGCCTAGCCTCTGCTATGATTTTATTGTTATATTTTCAGGTAATGGGCAATTCAAAACCAAAAACCAAACCCACTGCCATTGAGTCAATTCCGATTCACAGCTATAGGCAATCGGTAAAGAAAAATATTTATCTTTTTTTGACTTAGTTATGACAGCTGACAATCCAATATTTTCTGTTTGAAATATAATCTGTTTGAAATATAAATGAATTCATACAATGTTTGTCCCTTTGTGACTGACTCATTTCACTCTGTGTAATGTCTTCCTGCTCCATCCCTAGTGTACGTGTATCAAGAGTTCATTCTCCTACTGGCTGAGTAGTATTCCGTTGTATATGTACCACGTTTTGTTTATCCGTTCATCTATAGATGGGCATTTAGGTTTATACCTTTTGGTTACTGTGAATAGTGCTGCAGTGAATATTGGTGTATATAGTCTGTAACTGTGCTTTTGAGTCTTTTGGGTATATACTTGGGAGTATGTTTAGCTGTGTGTACTTTGTTACTATATCAGATAATCCATTCGTACAGGCTAAGCCTGACAGCATTGCCCCTTCGTTTTCTTCTAAGAATTTTATGGTTTTTGTTTGCATACAGAGGTCCTGAATCCATTTTGAATTTGTTTTTGTGTATGATGTGAAGCATGGATCCTGTATCATTATCCTGCATGTAGATATTCTTTTTTCCCATTACCATTTATTGGAAAGACTCTTTTCTTCCCCCATTGAATGGACCTTGTACCCTTGTCAGAATCAGTTGACCACAAATGTATGGGTTTTCTGAACTCCCAATTCTATTCTGTTGGTCTGTGTATCTATTGTAATAAAAACCAGTCTGTTTTTGATTGCTATAGCTTTATGTTTTAAAATTAGGAAGTATGTGTCCTCTTACTCAGTTCTTCCATAATTATTGTTGTTGTTACTTGCTGTCATGTAGTTTCTGACTCATGGCGACCGCATATGTACAGAGTAGAACTGCCCCATAGGGTTTTCAAGGCTGTGACCCTTTGGAAACAAATTACTAGGCCTGTCTTCTGAGATGCCTTGGGGTCGGTTTCAACTGGCAACCTTTTGATTCGTAGTTGGGTGCTTAACCAGAGTGAAACAGGCTTTTTTTTTTTTTTTTTTTTAATAACCAGGTAAAATTATGATAATAAAAATATATAAATAAGTTAAAAGTTTCATTGTGATTCAGGCCTGTTAGCTGTATCACTACAGTTTAACAACCTTTGGAGTTGGAAATATCTGCTTAAAAGTAAGTGTTGTATTAGAAATTCATCCCTGTGATCATATCCAAGTAAGCATTGTGATCTAGAAAATAAGTAATAGAAAGCTATTTGAGAAATGGTAGATAATCTTATGATGACTTTGCTGAATTCTGAATTTTAGCAATCATCCTGAAGAAGGTTTTTATATTGACGCTTTATTCAGATATCTTTTACTGTCAAGTTTACTGACTTCTATTTTTGGTGGTGGGAGCACTGGTGGCATAGTGCCTAAAGCATGTGACTGCTAACCAGAAGGCTGGAGGTTCAAACCCACCAGCCACTCCTCGGAAGGAAGATTGGGCAATCTGCTTGCTTAGAGATACCGCCTCGGAAACCTAAGGAGGGGTCTCTGAGTTGGGACCAACTCGACAGCAGTGAGTTTATTTGAGTAATGGTTGGTGGTGATTGTGAAGATATCCTATGTTATTATAAAGCCTAATATTCTGATTCTCCTTGCTGTTTCTTTCTGCCTTCTGGCTTATATTTCTCTTTTTTCTTAACTTTTCCATCATTTGCTTTTGTATCTTTCTCTTTTATTTTCTTCTTGGGAATGTTTATTTACTCTCAGAGTTGGAACTGTTACCCATTATTATGTTTAGTGTGTAAAGCAGAGCTGAAATCTGTTTCTTAAGTTCAATTTGGGTGGACTTTTTACTACTGGAATAGTGACGTATTGAACCAAAATCCAACAAAAGTGTGTGTTTGTTATATTTTGTATGTAGTAGCCATTCAATAAATACTGACTTTGAGTGAGAGAAAAAGTAGTATGCTGATGGTGAATAAAGAGCAAAAAGGAATACAAAGAAGTTTTTCTTCAAGTCCTTAAATTGCTAATCTCATGAGGGTTTTACATATATAGAGGGTGAAATAACGTCACCTACACACGCACATGTATATATTACAAATAAGAATACTGTGCACTTTGAGCACAACTGTAAATTCAGGTAGTGAAACTCTTTGAATCTCTTTTAGGGAACTAATACCTGTCCTCTTACTGTAGTTATTGTTTTGTTTTAATAAAGCCATCTAAAAATATATATGTATTTTAGATATTTGATATATGTTAGATATATTATAGGCCATTAGTGTTTTGATATATTTTAGAAGGCTTCATTCATTTAGGACTTTTTTTTTTTAATATATGTATGTGTGTGTGTGTGTATATATATATATATATATATATATATATATATACATATACATATATACAGATTTCTCCCACTATCCAAGAGTAGAATGTTCCTATGACACCTTTTTTAAGCCACAATGGTGCAAAGCAAAGAAGCAGTTACTGTTAATTTATATGGGAATGAGTTTTGGACACAAAAAATAACTTGCCAAATCATACCAGATAACACATAAAACCTAAAATAACACTAACATATGGTAAAAGCAGGAATCATATGATATGAATGCCCAGTCTTCCTTCCGAGGAGTGGCTGCTGGGTTTGAACCGCCAGGCTTCTGGTTAGCAGTCATATGCCTTAGGCACTATGCCACCAGAGCTCCTATATAAATATATAGCCTATTTAAAGTAGAAATACTGTATGTACAGTATAGTTGCTGGGGAAACAGGTTGGCAGTGCCACTTTTGCTGCTCAAGATGCATGCTGCCTGTTTAACACTTGTTGCAAAATAAATGCTGAATGCTAATTTCCGTTACGGGCTTTATTCATAAGAGCAAAAATCCCCTTCAGATTTCTTTCTGTTAGTGAAAACAGATACTAATATAGGTCTTTCCCAAAAGTGAAGTGGTATAAAGAGAGCTTTTGAAAAGCAGGGGATACCTGTATTCATTCTTTAGTGCAGTAGAGCAAAGTATGTTTTATAGGAGCTCTGGTGGCGTAGTGCCTAAGACATTTGACTGCTCACCAGAAGGCTGGCAGTTCAAACTCACCAGTCACTCCTTGGAAGGAAGATTGGGCAATCTACTTCCATAGACATACCGCCTTGGAAACCTCAAGGAGGAGTCACTATGAGTCAGATCCTACTCCACAGCAGTGAGTTTTAGTGAATTATACTCACACTTACTCTCTAAAACCTGGGAAATAATTTTATTGTTCTAAAATATTGTGGACTTTGTATCACAGTCTCCCTACCTTAGGATTTCTTTTAACACTTGTTTCAACTTAGGCCACTAATTATTTTTTGAATAGTGATTGTGATCACCTGACCATTGTCCTCCTTCCCCTTACAATACTGAAATCCTAAAACGATTTTTTGTTTTTTGAAGGATGGAGGGCATATGGTACTTGGAAGTCCAGTGGTTAAAACAAATCTTACCTTAGAACTATTATGTATAGGCTCTATCAGTGTACTTGCATTATGGATCACCATAGAAAACATTTGCTGAAGTTCCAATAAATGTTTATAAAAAAGTGAATGTATAATTTTTCATGGTGGGGCATTCATATAATTGATTTTTATTCATTTTATTTTTGTCATATAAATGATACTGTTTTCCTTTAAATTGGAAAAAAGAAAATTCCCTAAACAGGTTTATAGTGGGATTAGCCTGTACTGTTTGAACATTGATCCCTAAATCTGATCAAAATAAGTGATCATTTTGTTGGTTGGATAAATAGCTGTCATATTTAATAATTACAGATCTTCCATGGCTGTTCACCTTTAATGTGAAGTTTTACCCTCCTGATCCTTCTCAGTTGACTGAAGATATCACCAGGTACTTTATATTTGCATTTAAGAATGAACTTTTATTCATAGCTTTCATTTATTTCTGTGCTCTGGGAGAATGGTGGTGATTTTAGGATTAAAAGCTGAAACAATTTTTTATAAGTTAGATGTTAGAATGTTTCCTTGGAAATGGGTACTCCTATTGTAGGAAATGTTACCAATTTCAAGAAATGTATTCATTTTTTTCTTAAGTTCTCTATTTATATTCAAGTAGTGGATTATTTTTTCAAAATTATGTTGCTGCCAACTTAGTTTCCATGTTATGATAGATAAATAATACTAATAAATAATTGATACTAAACGTTTCAGATTTTAATAAGATGTTTTTATTTATTTACACATGTATGTGTAACACACGTGTACCTATGTACTAGTCTCATATTACAAAGATGATTTAAGATTTGGAAAGGGAAATTACTTTCATATGTAAATTGAACTGTCTCTCTCCCAAAACAAACAAGCAAACAAGTTACTGAGGTAGACTTTTTTATGTAGGGTTTCTTATTCCCATCCACTGTGAGATTGTCTGCACTATAGGAACATAGGTTGCAATTGCAAGTGAAGGATTCAGTTTAGGAGGAAAGGGGCTTTTTTTATTGTTGGTTATTTGAATGGTAGCCAAGGGATATTGTGAATCTAGAAGTACCCCAATATTTTAGCCCTATTAGACTGGGAACCTGTGACAGGATTTCTTAGCTTTGGTGAGAAATAGTATATAGAATGATTTTTAAATGTTTAAAAAAAGATTATTTATTTGGCCAAAGAAAACTATGCTGCAGTGTAAGTACTTGGAGAAAATTAGAGGGCCTAGGCAAAAGGTTCTGTTTATCAGTGGTTCCTGTGTCTTTGATGTTCTCAGCTAAGCTAGTTTTCTTGTCAGATACATCAATTTGTGTAGATGTCTTAACATGCTTAAGAGTGCATATTATCCATGTGTAAATTAGGGATGATGGGGATTTCTTTCCAAGATTGGATAAGTGGCTGGTCTAGTGTTCTTTTACTACTTGTTGCTGAATAAGGATATACTGATTAAGCTCTGATTGAATTAGCTTCAGCTAGTAAATAATAAATAGTAGCTTATGTAACTGCACAGTGAGCAGCTTGGAGCATAAAACCTGACAGGTTGGCTTGGACAGGATTCAGACCTTCACCACAGGAGTGCCTTTGAACAATGGATGTAATTAGGGCTTTGTGACCCAATGCCCTCTCTGTACACACACTCCTCTGTATAGTAATTTGTTTGGGGGATTATAATTCTTTGGTAATTATAGCTTTATTGTATCCAAAAGTGCTTTGGCTTTTCTTCTTCTTTTTTTTTTTTGGCCTTTCTGATAAACAAGGCTTAAACAGTTTCCCTGTCTGTGGTGGGAGGAATGACACAGTCTCAACTAACTGAAGGCCTCACTAAAAGCCTCATTGGTACAGCCTGGGACTAGTCACCTGCCTGTACCTGTGGCCTGCCAGCCTAAATGTTATGATTAAAATGTTCACCAAGACTTGAGTGAACACTTAGAAGGTGTGGTAGGATTTGAGCAGAAGAATAACACTATTGAGAATAATGTTTGAAGAATGCTTTTCCTTGTTGTGTGAAGAAGATAAGAGTTGGGAAATTTGGAAGCTCTTGCAGTTTTAGTTTGAAGTTTTTAGAGCATAGCCTTAGGCTTTGCAAACAGAAGAAAGTAGCAATGTGAAAAGTAGAAACAGTAATATAAAAAGGAGCAATGAGATTTTAGTGACAGGCAGAAACTCTGTGGTAGGTCTTAGAAGTGTTACAAAATATGGAGAACCAGCACTATTATCTGATTATACTTAGAAAACTGGAGGATAGCTTGGATTTGTAGTTAAAATCGAGTTTGCTGTAGGAAGTGCAGATATGCTCATGTTGTTCTAAGTGGTGAAGAAATATATACTCCCCCTTAAAAAGAGAACTCCTTGTAATGCATAAAAGTACCCTGATAGTAGTGATGGTGAGAAGATTTTCATCCCCTCAGAAAAGTATTGAGCACTTGCCATGTGCTAAGTACTGTGCCAGCTGTGGGACTTCAGTGATGATAAGTAGAGCCCCAGCCCTGCCTGATGGTGGATTGGAGCAGTGATCCAGGTATAAGGGAACTAGGCGATGGCTGAGACCATGTGCAGGGATGCATCCTCAGACCCAGCAAGGAAGGCCTGGACCTGAAGCCACAAGCACTCTCCTTTGAACCTGCTGGGTAGAGAGCAAGAGGTGGAGGGGTCCTGAAACACAGGCTAGGCAGCAGTGTCCACAAGAAGAAGGTGCTAGCTGCCGGTAGGAGTGGCAGCCTTTAAAAGATCCTCTTGAGTGAGAGTGCTTTTAGTTCGGAGGGGATCAGTGGTAACCTTTAACAAGTAGTTAAATTCAAGAGCAGAGATTAGGTTTAAAAATGTCAAAAATGAGTAGACAGGAGAACAACAGATCCTCATAGAATAAAAATAACATGTTCCACCTCAGTGAGATGGATTGACACAGTGGCTGCAACAGTGGGCTCAAGCAGAGCAACGACCGTGAAGATGGTGCAGGACCAGGCAGCATTCCATTCTTGTTACACAAGGTTGCTGGCAGCTGCAGTCAGCTCCATGGCATCTAAGGATGACAGCACAGTTTTACTAGGAAGTGGAAAACAGAAGAGGTGTTATAACTGTGTGTAGTAAGCCACTTGGAACATTGAATAATAAATTATTAGCTACTAATAGTAATAATAGTAATTATTATAAAAATAAAACCACTGCCACGGAGTAGATTCCAATTCATAACGACCCCCATTGAGTTTCCAAGACTGTAAATCTTTATGGAAGTCGATTGGCTTATCTTCCCATGGAATAGCTGGTGGGTTTGAACCTCTGACCTTCTGGTTAGCAGCCAAATGACTTACCCACTATGCCACCAGAACTCCTTATAAACCAAAGCAGACTGCCATCGAGTCGATTCCAACTCATAGTGATCCCCGTTGGATTCTCGAGGCTATAAATCTTTATAGATGTAGATCACTCCATCATCCTTCCCCAGGGTGGCTGGTGGGTTTTAACTGCTGACCTTCTGGTTAGCAGCCAGATACCTTACCCACTGTGCCACCAGAGCTCCTTGAGTTCCTTATAGCTACCTGTTATTGATTCCTAGGCACCATGCCAGGTAGGCATACCTAATTTTATTGCTCTTTGCATATATTGCACTTTTTACAAATTTGAAGGCTTGTGGCAACCCTACATTGAGCAAGTTTTAGCAGCACCATTTTTCCAACAGCACATGTTTACTTTGTGCCTCTGTGTCACATTTTAGTAGTTCTCAGAATATTTCAAACTTTTTCATAATGCTATTGCATGCACACTTAATAGGCTACAGTATAGTGTAAACATAACTTTTATATGCACTGGGAAACCAAAATAATGGTCTGACTTGCTTTATCTCAATAATTGCGTTATTGTGGTAGTCTGGAACCAAACTCATGACCTCTCTGTATTCTATTTATGTTATTTAATTTTATGCTCACTTGCAAAGGAGGTAGAACTCTTCCCATTTTACAGGTGAAGAATTGTCCTCATACAAGTATGTTATCCCAAAGTTGAGATTACTTACAGTTGTTATTAAAGATGTCTCAGGAAAAGAAGAAATTAGCATGAAAAAGGTAGAGAGAATAAAGGATGGGTGCCCTTAGCTTTTCTTGCAAATGCTTAAGACTGGAATCATTTTTTAAATTAATCTTTCCTACTTTCCTGATTGGCATGCTGTTTTTTTGTTTTTTTTTTTAATTAGAGTTTTAAATCCAAGGAGAGAAAGTTTAATGTTTGGAATTCTTACCTGCCATCACAAGGCTCTTTATAATAATAACAGGCTAGGTGTTACCAGAACAGCAATTCTGAATTTCCATTCTATTAGTGCTCTAGACTCCATTTATTTAGATAACCCACAAGATTAGGAGTCCAGGGAGCAAGATGGGGCTTCTTATTAGAGAAGACTGTTTTTGCTATGGGGTATCAAGAATGCCTGTATTGTATATTTGTTTTTAAAGAAATAGTATGACTGAAGGATTATGAGTGCTCCTGTCTTAACTAATTCTTCTCCCCCTGCTCCTCATAGATACTTCTTGTGCCTTCAGCTCCGGCAGGACATTGCCTCTGGCCGCCTGCCCTGCTCTTTTGTGACTCATGCCCTCTTGGGATCCTACACACTGCAGGCTGAACTCGGGGACTATGACCCTGAAGAGCATGGCCGTGATGACCTCAGTAGCTTCCAGTTTGCTCCCACACAGACAAAAGAGCTGGAAGAGAAGGTGTTAGAGTTGCATAAAACCCACAGGTCTGTTGATTTGCTTACTGGAGAGAGAATGGCTGTGGTACATTTAAATAGTTCCTCTTATAACACTTTCTTAGAGTCTCTGGGTGGCACAGATAGTTAAGTGCTCAATTACCAGCCAAAAGATTGGTGAGTCAAAGTCACCCACAGGTACCTTGGAAGACAGAACTGGTGATCTGCTTTGGACAGGCCACAGTCTTGAAAATCCTGTGAAGCAATTCCACTCTTCGCACACAGGTCACCGTGAGTCAGAATCAACTCGATGGTAACAACCAATAAGAACATTACACCGCTAGACATTTTAGCGTAATTGATGGGATTATCCCTTTTTTCTTCTCAGAACTTCACCTAGTACTGATCAGGACAACCTCCAGCCCTGCGATATCCTTTCATTGTCTTTATGAACTATGCTCATGAGAGTAAATGTTTTTATTTAATGAAAGTTTACTTTTCTCTATCATGACGAGCTCTGGTGGTATGGTGGTTAAGGCATTTGCCTGATAATCAAAAGGTCGGTGGTTCAAACCCACCAGCCACTGTGGAAGAAAGATGAGGTGATCTGCTTCTGTAAAGATTTACAGGCTTGGAAACCCTGTGTGGGTCGCTATAAGTTGGAATCGACTCAGTGGCAGTGAGTTTGGTTTGGTTTGGTTTTCTCCATCATATCTGTTCCTTCTCCCTCAAATCTCAACCGTTAACATGTGTTTTCAGCCACACACATGCACATACATACACAGAAAACAAACATACCCACATACTTGGTTGGCATTTACTTAATATTTCTTCTGACTTTTCATTGATTTTTTTTATTACCATGTTTGATAAGAAACCTGGGAAGATGATGAAGCATCAGGATTTGAATCAGAAATGTGGGTAATGATAAGTGTAGGAGTGAGTAGTAATTGAAACATATGGTGGTTATACTCCATGGAAGATTGCCTTTTAGTTTTGCTAAGGATTACATAAATTACCTAAATACCATATTATACTTGGAAAATTTTTATTTATGTGCAGAAATAATGAATTTTGTAGCACAAGTTTTTTAAACTTATTAAATTGTATTATTTTAAGACAGTTACAAAAGTATACTTGTACTGGAAAATTAAAGCTTTATAAAATTTGATCTAAAGTGATTTGAAAGGAGCATTCAGGGATTAGAAGTTTTAAATAGGCCATATTCACTGACTTTCATTTAAAATAAAGAAATATAATATTGGATTCTAAATATATTCTTATTAACTTTATTCCAATTCTATCTAAAATGTATTTACTGTGTAATTATAACTTGAAGTATCAGGTGCCAAAATGCCCTGGGGAATATGAAGATAAATGAGACAAGCTTAAAACTGTAGTTGAGGACACAGGTATAAGTGGAAATAATTATAGTCTGGACAGATATGATACTCATCATCAAAGCTGTAAAATCAGGTACCAGTACTTCTGATCTTTAATTGATCAGTCATATGGAAAATAAAATTGATGGCTAAGGATTTATTTTAGAACAATGAAATCACATTTTTTATTCTTAATTTATGTTATATGCATTATTGCTGTGGCTTTTTTCCCCAGTGGGAAAAAAAGGTATGTGAAAAGCAATTTCTTAAGATAGAGTAAGGGGTGGAAGTGTACCTACTTGGAAATTAACAGTTAGAGAATCTTATGATAAAACACTAGAGGCTCACAGTTGAGTGTTCTTACTGCTTTCTTACTTGTCCAAATTTAGCTGCGTTACTCCCTCCACTTTAGACTCTCCCTATTTTTTACCCTCTCCTCCTCCATTCTGGCCATATTCACATCTATTAATAATATAATATCGTTTCTTCTGATTCTTAGGGGCTTATCTCCAGCACAAGCTGATTCTCAGTTCTTAGAAAATGCAAAAAGGCTCTCCATGTATGGTGTTGACCTTCATCATGCCAAGGTACCGTAAATATAACAGTAGAAGAGGCCTTGTTCTAGTCTGTTGATTGGAGTTTTGAGAGGGCTCCATTTTCTGAGTAACATGGTTCACTTTTGGGAAAAAGCTAATCACCTCAATTGAGGAACTCTATGCTGTGTCTTTGGTGACTAATGGTGGGGTTTATGGTTAACAGAAGAACCTCTTATTCTCCCTCAACTCATTCTACTTCTTCCCAGTCTTTTTATATAATGCCTTTCTATACTTGTCTTAAGACTGACTTTTTCATGATGCATTCTTTACTCATCAACTTGCCTTATTCTGATTCCCAACTTCTGCTGTGCTCACTACTGCCTCTCCTGGGAGAGGAGAACAGAGTCTGGCAACCACAAAGGGCAGAAGTAATGTGAATACAACCACCTACAAAAAAGCTTCTGAGCTGTGAAGGTTGCTACAGTTGAACTCTTCTCTGTAGTCTCATTGTTTTGTACTTCATGAAAGGTAAAGTTGACTGGCCCAGACTTGAAGTGACAAAGCACCTTCAGTGTAATTTGAGAAATGGAAAAAAGAATATTAGAAGAAGCTGGGGATAGAAGGGAAGGATGCTAGTAACATCACCTACTTCATCATACTATTTACAATGATCACATAGGGAGGAGAGTCGAGGACAATAAGAGGTATAGTAGAAAGATGGATTTGATTTTGAAAAATATGTCCAGAGTTAACTTAGAATACTGAGGGAACCTATGATTACCTGCTTTTAAAAGACCTTGCCAATCCTAAATGCAGTGTAAGTCCAGATTATATTATTTGATATATCTTTAGAAAAGCCCCTACCCAAAGATATCTTCCTTCCTTTTGTGTTATTACTAGTACTTCATTTTACAAATCTCTTTTTTCCCCTCAATGATTTCCGTTGTTCATTAAATATTTTTCATCGTTACATAAATACGTGTTCTTCATATAAAATAGAAGAAAATATGTGCTATTAATATTTTGGTATGTCTTGTTTTCTTGTTACTCTGAGAGTTTGTCTTCACTCATTTCTCTAAAGTGGGATTTATACTCTTGAGTATCATTTTGAGAGGCTTTTTGATATTGTTGTTAATATTTAATATAAACATTCTTCCTTGTCAATATTAACTACTAGGAATGGTAGCACCTTAAACTTTTAAAAGTACTTTCACATGAGCTATTTCACTTAAGATTTGAAAGTTATTATTTTACAAATACATAAAACAATGCAGAGAATGACTTGCTTAAAGCCACAATTATTAATCAGTCCTACCTGTCTGTTATCTTCTGCTAATTCCTACTAAGGATTAAGTAGACCTTCTAACACATGAGTGTTTTTCAGCTTTTTCTTTTTTAATGATGGGGACTGGCTTGGATAGCTGAGAAACAGACATAGGGGAGGAAGGAAAGAATGGGCCTGGGGTCAAAAAGACCTCCCTAAGTCTGTCTTGTCTCTAAGTCCTGCTTTTCTTGACACACTTAAAATTTGTCATCTGCTTACTTTATTGATAAATTAGAGAACAAATTTTAGATAGCAATACTGCGAGATTTCAGGGTTCTTGTTTTTAATGTTGTGTGCTAGAAAATAATAAATTATGTCCTCTGCTATGGGTGTAGCATGAGTTCTTGCTGTGTGGTTAAGAGCAGAACACTTTTTTTTAAAAAAGTCAGAAAAAAGTGATATTCAGCTCATGGGATAATATTTAATAAGCAAGATATTTGTATTTTTTTAAAAAAGAAGATCTAGCAATTTAACAGAAAATTTCATACAGTTTATAATTATGTGCTATTATGTATTTTTCATGATTTTCAAAATCAGATATTTTCTTTTCACTTAGAAGTGTCCGTGATAGCACACACACATTAGCATAAGTCAAGGAGGGTTGAACAGAGAAATTCTTGACAAAGTGCAGGGAAACCCACAGGGGTGGTATGATACCCCTGCTAATCCCTCTAGGTGAGGAAGAGTGAGGGCAGAGAGTAGGTGCCAGAAGATGGGAGGAGAGAGCTGTCCTGAGAGGAGTCATGATTGTCAGAGGGCCACATCCAGCCTTTTGCAATCCTACAGGAAGGGAGTCTGATTATTAAACACTCCTCCCCCCCTTCCCTCCCTCTCCTCTCTGATATTCTGCCAGAGCTTTCCGTAGGCTAGACCCATTCAGAAGCCAGTGGACATGAGATCCTGTTGATACCCATGTGTGGCAGCTTCTTGGGGGCAGCAAGCGAGGCAGAGAAGGGCACTCCTTTGTATTAATTTATTTTTCTGACTTTGTTGCTGAATGGCAGAGGGCAAATACGGAGGACGTGCTTTTTTGCCCTTTTATTTCTTAACGTTAATCTGTAATTTCTATTCACATGCTGATTAATTCTAAAATAATACATGTTGTTGTTGTTATGTGCCGTCGAGTCGGACCCGACTCATAGAGACCCCACCTTGGGTTTCCGAGGCAGTATCACTGCAGAAGTAGATTGCCCAACCTTCCTTCTGAGGAGTGGCTGGTGGGTTTGAACCGCCAGCCTTCTGGTTAGCAGTCAAGTGCCTTAGGCACGATGCTACCAGAGCTCCTAAAATAATACATAAAGCAACCCAATTTATTTGCATCCAGATTATTGTCAATTTTATTTACTAAGATAAAATAGTTTCAATGTCCTGTCCAAAGATTGCTTAGACTAGAAGGCTTTGTTAAGCATTTCCAGTTAGAGTTGCCTCCTTACTTGTAGTGAGAACATGCTGTCTTGGGCAGTTTTCTATCTTGCTCTTTGTCACCCTGGCCAGTGTTTTTGACATGCATACCATTTGGGTCTGGTGCCAAGTTGCTTGAGCACCTGTGTCTGCCTCACCCCAACCTTTTACTCTTTTTCCAGAGAGAATTGTGGCTACCAGAGAAGAAAGAATAAAGCATCCTATAGATTTTTTTTTTTAACCTAAGCCATGTGGTTAATGTGATTTTATTTGCGCAGGTGAATTGTTCATATGTCACAACAGAGAATGCAATTGGCATTGATTACCCAGTACTATTGTTATTATTTTAAATACATAATTGTTAAATTTTTCTCATAAGCAATTAAAATGTGGGAGCTCTGGTGGTGTAGTGCCTAAGGCATTTGGCTGCTAACCAGAAGGCTGATGGTTCAAACCCACCAGCCACTCCGGAAGGAAGATTGCACAGTCTATTTCCATAGAGATACCATCTTGGAAGCCCAAAGAAGGGTCACTATGAGTCCAATCAACTCGATGGCAGTGAGTTTTTTTTTTTTTTTTGAAATTGAAGTGTTGTATTTGTTTTTATTAAATTGAGGACTTAAATACGCTGTTCCATTATTTGTTGTAAGGATTTGTTCCATGATTTCTGAAATTGTGATATCTCTGGATGATGATGTTCAATATTATATATCTTGAATGACATGCAATTCTTCTCTGAAAAATATGATTTGTATATTTTAAATATTGTGCATCCTAGATCTCCAACATGACTTAAAATGTGAGGAAACAGTTGCTCACTTTTGTCTATCAGTTTAGTTGTTTTTTTAAAAAGTCTTTTGGGCTTGTAATTATTTCAGATAGTCATCTATACCAAATAAAAGCTCTGGGGAATAAATAAATATTAATAAGTTTAAGAATCATTTATCTGTAGTCCTTTGAAATATGCTATCCAAAGGAATGCTGTAATGAGAACTGGATGTCAGCACTCTGAGTTTTGATAAACTGCTTGAAAGAATTTAGAGATTTCTACTCTTTTTTAGCTTAGACAAGAAATTTTCAATGAGAGATTGGTATTTTACAGAATATAGGCATAATTTTAACAATTATTAGCTGGCATAATCCATCTGATATAAATTTGCTTAAAGAGAATGGCTGAATACCTCTTAAAGCAGACCAAGGGACTGTCCCTGAGGGCTGGATTAGGCCCTAGCAAAACTCATTTCATCTCCCATATCTTCAAGATATCCAGATCTAGTTGTTTCCTTTCTTCCTCTTTAGCCCTTAAAACAGAACTTGAGAGCTCATTCATGTGACATTGGAAGAATGTTGGATCATACAATCATATTGCAGTAACTCTTTGGCAGATCAATTGGATTCTTGAAAATGAATAGATTTAAGATGTATGGTGTATCCTACTATCTCCATTAACTCTCCTGCTGTCACTAAAACTTAAAGTCAAGTCTGTTAAGTTGACATTCTTGGTCATGGTGTGAGGGAGACAGCTTCTTGAGCTATTTAACTTTCACAGCTCTAACTGTGGTCAAATGGTTATGTTTGGCAGGACTCTGAAGGCGTGGACATCAAGCTGGGCGTGTGTGCTAATGGACTCCTCATTTACAAAGACAGACTGAGAATTAATCGCTTTGCTTGGCCGAAAATCTTGAAAATTTCCTATAAACGCAGTAACTTCTACATTAAAGTGAGGCCCGCAGAGGTAAGCAATATCGTGTAGACCTCAGTGTGTTTAACCAGCAGTTATCAGTGTTCTCTTTGATGGCCAGCCATGAGCTAACTGAATTCTTTTCCTCTGCACTTTAACCAGAAGAACTATTCTTTATTCTTCTGTGGTTGAAAGAAGAAAAGTGCAGGATTTGTGATAATAAACCTGCTTATATATTCCTGTCATTAAAAACGAACAGCAATGAAACCTTCTGTGGAAAAGAAAAAGTAGAAAATACCTGGCATATAATGGGCTCTTGTTTTTCTTATTGAATAAATTATGTGCTGGAGATCAAATAGGAAGGTGATGAAATGACTTTTAGTGGAGATTGAAAGATCCTGTTTATATGAATAGTTGAAACATGCTTTTCATAGAAAATATAGTATTTTCATAGAAAATAATACTGCACGCCCATATAAGATAAGATATTCTAATATTTACCTTTTGCAAGAAGAATTACTTCTTACGGAAACATCTACGCCCATACTTTTCACTAACCTCCAATCAGCAGAACATGCTAATTTGTTTTATGGATTTATTCCAGCTGGAACAATTTGAGAGCACCATTGGATTCAAACTGCCAAAGCACCGGGCAGCTAAAAGGCTATGGAAAGTGTGTGTGGAACATCACACTTTTTACAGGTATTTTTAAGAAAACAACTTCTTACTGATATTAATAACCCTTGTTATTGCTATTAATAAGTACTTGGCAGCTACCCAAAAGGTTAGTGGTTCAAACTCATCAGCTGTTCTGTGGGAGAGAAGACCTAGTGATCTGCTTCCACAAAGTTCATAGCTGAGGAAACGCTGTGGGGAGTTCTACTTTGTCATACATTTTTAGAGCATATTTGGCTGGATTGCTAGGTGGGGAATTGCTGCCATATTCAGCCCATAAGGAGACAGTGCATGGTAAGTGACCATGCTTCTTGTCCTGCCTGAGTTACTCAGGATCAGTGTGCAGAGGCATTTAACCTCTTTGTGCATCTTTTTCCTCAGCTATTGAAGGAGAGAGAGAATTCAGAGCATGGCCAAGGATTCGTTTTTGCTTTAAGTTTCTACCACTATAACATTCTACTTTAAGAAATACACCTCTTCCCAAGTACAGTTTGAGGCTGGCCCTCGTTAGATTGTACTTCACCAGCAGCACTACCTGTGTCTCCCTGGAAACTCTATTGGAGGAAAATGGATGTTACTAAGAAACAGGCTTGTCTCGATGAATAGATTCATGTCAAGAAAGCCAGAATATAATTAATTACTCTTCTATGTGTTTAGCGTATAACGTGCTGTATTTCCTGGAGCAATATTCCTGACATTGTTTCTGTTGAGAATCCTGAATGGAGGGAGGGATGCCACTTTTGTGTTCACCAGGCATGCTTTGACTTGAATCTGTTTTCACTGTTTATTATGCAGAAGATTTCTTGAAAATTGAGCAGGAGTTCTAGAAATACTGAAAGGGTAAATCATTAAGAAACCACTATTCCTGGAGAAATAAAAAGTTTGGGAGGAGTTCTCCATATCCTAGAATTCTTGACTAGAGTCTTCATATTTAACACATTTTAGAACAGTGGTGAGATTATTAATATTATTTTGTTAAGACGTTTTGCCAACTCTTGTTCAGACAATGAAAGTCAGATAATTTCAGTGGAATTCCAGACAACATTGGCTCATTTACTAAAAACATGCTTTTGCATCAGTCTTGAAGTACTGACATCAAGAAAGGCTGACTTCCTTCGTTGGGAACCCGTGGCTTCAGCACTAGAACTGTGCTGACAACACAGGGATGTTAGTCATCTCTGCACGTCCACTGTGTTGTGTTCTTCATGGGAAAGAATCACTTGATGGAACAGATTTCCAAGTTGGATGTTCCTTTCCCAGGAGAAATAGGCATAATATTAAGAAATTACTAATGGTAATGGATTGTTTGTTGGCACTTACAGCTAGGAACAAGAATTTAGACATATGTGTTTATATAAATAATTTAAGCTAATACAAATAAATAACCTTGTTACACGTTGAGAACAGCCGCTCTCTTGCTCAGGTTGAGAAAAACATTACTCATGAAAACAAGAATGTGATTTATTCATTTTGTCTCCATCATAAAGCTCTGTATGTAGGAGGGTGTTTTAGTTATTTAGTGCTGCTGAATAAGAATACCATAAATGAGAGGCTTAACAAACAAATTTATTTCCTCACAGTTTAGGAATCAGATGTCGGAATTCAGAGGGCCAGCTCTAGGGGAAGGCTTGCTTGCTCTGTGGGCTCTGGAGGAAGGTGCTTCTCTCCTTAAGCTTCTGCTCGTCGGTGATCTCCGTGTGGCGTGGCATCTGTTTCCCTCTATTTCTGCTCGCTTCTCCCCCCTAATCAGCTTGGTTGATATCTCTCTTAGATCTCAAAAGAAATTAATTCAGGATACTTGCTATACTAATCCTGCCACATTAATATAACAAAGACAACCCATTTCCAAATGGGACTATAACCACTGACAGAGAGATTAGGATTTACAACACATACAGGTCCCCTCCACTACCACCATTATCCAAAAGTAGAGCGTTCCTGTGAAACTTTCGTAAGCCAAAATGACATAAACCAAAGAAGCAATTACCATTAATTTATACAGGAAGATTTTTTGAGCCTTCCCAGACTCAAAAAAATAACCTACCAAATAATACACAGAACCTAAACTAACACTAACGTGTAGTATTCACAGACACAGTTCAAAGCTGTGATGGCTTGAGCTTGGTGATGCCACTCCCTCTGCTCACGGTGCACTGCCTCTTTAACAGCTAGCTACAAAGCAGACACTGAACCTAGTTTTGCTGTCTTTGAAAACCAAAAATCCTCTTCAGTTTTCTTGCAGTTATTGAAAATAGGTACTAATGTAGGTCTTTGTTAAAAGTAAAATGGTGTAAAGTGAACTTTTGAAAAGTGGTAGATAACTATTTTGGGGGAGAGATATAATTCAATCCATAACAGGGTGTTTATATATAATCTCTTTGATTAGAAAGTTTAAGCAGCACTTTTTCAAAATTGAGTAAGCATACTTAACAAGATGAGATACTAAGATATTTATATAGTCTTAACGTTTAAAAAAAAAAAACCCATAAAGTCTAACTTTATTGCTTTCTTTAAAATCTCTTTACAGACTGGTGTCTCCAGAGCAGCCACCAAAGACTAAGTTCCTGACTTTGGGGTCCAAATTCCGCTACAGTGGCCGCACCCAAGCCCAGACCCGCCAGGCAAGCATCCTCATTGATAGGCCAGCACCACATTTTGAGCGCACCTCTAGTAAACGGGTCTCCAGGAGTCTAGATGGAGGTAAATACACATTTATAATGATTCTGGATTCCATGATATTTCTCTTTTATGAGTAAAAAAACAACTTCCTAAAGTTTTCCGAGCTTTCCAATGTATGAAAAACTATTTACAACTTCAAGTGATTAGTTTTAAATTCAAGATTTTAGCAAAAAAAGAAGAAGTAATGTATTTTTTAAGGAGGGATATACATTTGAACTATTCTTCAGGAATTCTAATAAGCTACATATTTGTAGTTTTAGATAAATTACATGTGGATATAAATTGATGTTGTCTTTCACGTGCGTATCTTATTACCCTGTCCAGCTTTGTGTTACTAGCAGGTTTTTCATAAAAGAGGTAAGGTTAATTTTATATTAGAATGCTTTTATGAAGGACTTTTTCTTCCTATCTAATAGAACATGATTGGTTTAGATGATTTTCTACCAGAAGAAATAATTTTTAGTTGAATAATCTCCAAATATATTTTAAAAATAGTAATGTTAGATAGATTTGAAAATACCTATGTTATTGCTGTTTATCAGCAGAAAGCTTTTTTGGTTGCTTGTTATTAATTTACTGTTTTTTATGAAATATGAACTTAAACATTTTATTTTAAAAAATTAGCTAAAAAAAAAAAAAAAGGCCAGATAGTCTAACAGTCTACTTTTCCTAGGTCATCATTTCTTAAAATAAATTTGGAAAAGAGATCTAGGCAGATACAGAATAGTGTTTCTCAGGATTTATAATTAGGCACTTTGGTATGTACAGTTATTAAATCTTGATCCTGGAAAATCTTCCATATATACTTTCAGGAGATCAATGGAAAATAAGAGAACCATGGATTGTGTTTCATGCAAATGCCCACATTCCCAAATGTAGTAATTTAAACTAAGTCAATTATTCATATACTATATTCATATACTATAGAGAAACCAGGAGCTCTGGTAGCGTAGCGCTTAAGGCACTTGACTGCTAACCAGAGGCTGGCGGTTCAAACCCACCAGCCACTCCTCAGAAAGAAGATGGGGCAATCTACTTCCATAGTGATACTGCCTCGGAAACCCAAGGAGGGGTCGCTATGAGTCGAGTCCGACTCGAAGGCACAC